AGCAATAATTTTTAGTTATTTAATTTTGACAGAAAAGATGATCTAACTAAACCAGTTAAACTTATTTGTTCTGTACACACGTGTAAATAGTTCACGTGTAAATGACGAACGCAAATTACAAAATTATGTCAACTAGTATTTTTTATTAAAGTACAAATTAATCAGCACATTTTTACGTTTTCACGTATTTTTTATATGATTATTTAAGAAATAAATTTTACTTCAGGATCGTAATCGAATAGTGCTCGAAAGTGTCGAACTTGATTTGCAAAAGCTATCTGATCGGAACTTTTAGCTTTGCTTGAAGGTACTACCACAAGTGATAGCTCACCTGATATAGATCTCTAGAATAAATAGATTAGCTTGATTATTGCTGAACTTGTGGCTCGTAGTCATTTCTGCGAATTACTATTTTTTTATAGCAAAAATAATCTAGCTAAAGTTGCTTTGTAACTAAATCTTTTTTACATCAACAAAAACAATCAACAATTCGAATTTAGTTTTGTTGTTAGTTTATATTTAATAGACTTTTTAGAAAATGCAAATTATTGAATATAACTTTTTGCCTGAAATTTTTTGTGAATTTATGCATAAAAATCAAATTCACCAAAATATCGCAAACTTCCATTATATTCTTTCCACGCAAGTCATTTCCGTTAGCTTCAATCAATTCATCACCTTCAACTAATAAATTTGATCTTTCCGCCATGCCACCTCGTATTACACGTCCAACAATTACCTTTTCACCTTCATTGCGAACCGTTGCACCCTTCAAAAAACAAGCAATATAACTTCACAATAATAAAAAATAAATTTACTTGACAATTATTAATAAACTGAAAACTTTAATGCATAATATATTCTTCTTACCATTCAGTGAATAAAGCCTCTAACACATCATTCTCAACAAGCTCATTTTTCACATAAAAGTCAAAGTTTATGTTACCGATAAGATAAACAATTGCAAGACACTGACAAGATATGAGTTACTAGATTTAGTAACTTTGACGATCTTCAGATCACCCTGCATTCGTGTACATGCTATAATATTCTGAGCATCATTTTCAGTATTCGATAAGTCTGCAGATGAGGTAGGCTGAGATTCTATAGTCTGAAATATTATGAAGAAAATTTGCATATTAATTTTTGATTTGAAGGTAGATAAATGATTATGGTTAGCAATGCAAAGAGTAAGTAAGCAACCATTCATAATCCCATTCATGTTATCAATGTGAGCTAATGTGAGGCAAAATTCAAAAACAGTATATTATCATATTAACTTAAATATGGAAGGTTTACTCAAATCGATTTATAAACCATTCAGTATTAATTTAAATATCAAAGCAGACTGATCTGGTAGCATTTTTGATTAGCTAAGCAGCACAATTTAGAAATTGAAAAATAGTAGAAATTAAAGATCTTGCTGGTTTCAGAGGTTAGCGATATATTTACAGTTCGCTACCAAATCACTTCTCATTTCATAGTTTAAAATACCTCATGATAATACGGTAAAAAATTAGAGCTGCTTAAGATCTAAAGAAAAAACAATATGGTAAAATCCAAAAGTGAGGCATTCACATGATCACTTTAATGCAAAAATTCTGATAGGCAATAATCATTATTATTACTGAAACCATAATAAGGTATATACATATACCTTATGATTATATATATATATAATCATAATTACGTCAAAATCTTACGGATCAAAAATCAGATGTATACTTACGACTGTGTAAATTATGGATTAGTCGAATGATCGAGTAATAAATGACGTAAGTTGATTGAGTCAAAACAAAATTAATAGCTAAAAGAAAATATAAGAATTGTACTTTATTAGTGCTTCTAATATTGCTAATTTCGATCGCCGTTTGTACAGGCTTCTGCATGAAGAAATCACGGAGTAGTTTTGAATCTTCCTCACGTCCTTCACGTTTGTCTAAATGTCTAGCAACGCGATTCACTGATAATATTACCTGTTCCAGAGCTGAAATTTGTCATAAACTTTATAGATATCAAATAATTCATATTTGTTATTATCTCATTGTATTTTTTATTATTTTATGGTATACTTTTAGGTGCTATTCAGAAAGTTTGAAGCATAAAAGTACGCTGAAAAATGAAAATACAAAATTAAAAGTGATAATTATTACACTTACGGATTGATTCACACTTCTGATTTTCAAACTGATCACCAGAAGTATTGCCGGTTTCATAACCAATATTGCAATAACCTGTTTTTATTTTCGTATCACCAAACAAGGTACCATTTTTGTATCCTGTAGATAATTTTCGATCGCTAAAACTGCTGTGATTCTCTAGCAACTGTAATTTTCTTGACCCTCTCAATGAGTCTCTGAAAACAAGATAGGTTAATAGTTATCAAAGTAGTATACCAAAACTGATTATTGCTGAGATTCATCAAGAATTAAAAGAGATCAGTACTGGAATCAAGTCAATTAGTTATCAAATTATCAATTATTTGAAGCATGAAAAACGTAAAGATAACACAAAAATGGTTCTTTATGCTGTGTACAACAAGATTAGCTTAATTTTTGAAAGAATAAATTTAATGTATGTAGAAGAAATATAAAGCTAATCCATTTAAATTGAGAAAAAAAAGTTTTTCAACTAAAATTTAATCTTAAAAATGTATTACCTTAAAAATGCTTCTTCCTTTGCTCGATGCTGGTAAAGTTCACGTCTCTTACGTATGTCATTTTCGTAACCTTTTAGTCGATTACTTTCTACGTCATTTGTACTGCAAGCTATCATATCATTGTTGTTTGACACTTCATTTGAACATTGTTTCCATATATGACCATTCATTAACTAGAAATAGATCTTTTTTTTTTACTACAATCATTCAAAAATTATACTACTTACTGATTTGGAGGGACTATTTATGCAGTAATAATTTTAATAAAAATTACAATTTTTTCATCAATTAAACTAATCAATAAATGAAAAGAAAATATAAGAATTAAAAATAAGTGAATAACTCAGAAGAATGTTAGTTTAGAGCAATTTGCACTGAAAACATTAATTATTCTTTAAACATGGTGATGAATTATATACTGTCACCAACCTTGACACCATCTTCTTTTCAATATTCAAATGCATAATTAATAATTAAAAGTGATCTAATTCTTTTAATAATTGATAATATTTTTTAATAATTTATTAAACTTCTTAGTCTCAAAGCAGATTTACTTGAGGAAGACTGAAATTATGATCTAAAAGTTGCATTCATTGAATGGAACTTAACGTTATTACAGAATTCATCTGCCAAAAAACTGTAATACAAAAAATCTTATTATTAATTGACCTTCACAAATTTCATAGAATCAGAGCATTCTTCTTGCCAAAGAAGTGATTATAGCTTAAATTATGCTATCAGTTAAATTAGTAAATGACATTGTACAAAGGTCAAAATTTATAATGCATGTATTTACTTAAATGAAAGTAAGATCGAGTGATAATTACAATGAAAGCTATTTGTAATTCTTGATTCTCGAATATTAATAATTCTGTTTTTATTCTGATTTTGTGATCATAGATCAAAATTTAATAGGAATTTTGAAAAAGATTTGCTCGCTATTTTCATACAAATTATTGCAATAATTATGGATCAACTTTGGCAATTACGTCAATTATAATAGGGAAAATGTATTGTAAATAATATTGTATTATAAATAATTAGAAGTAGAGAATAATTTTTGAAGTTAAAGTTTTAATTTAAAATTTGAATTTTTCGCTATAAATATAAGAGAAGTTAGAATTGTGGGAACAAATGTTGGCTAATTGAAAACTTTTAATTTAAAAAAAAAAA